CTGTGAGTGAGTGTGTGTGTGTGTGTGTGTGTGTGTGGATTAGCTTCTGCCACTCCGAATATTTACAAAATAAAATCTGCCATATGTAACAAATAAGGCATAAACTTCTCAATCATAGACTTCAACAACAACAACGAGAAAGAATAAAATATCTAAAATACAATAAAAATATTCATCGACTGAAATCATGTCTATATTATACTAAGGTATTTTACTTTACATATTGCTTGCTGTATATTACTATAGTACTTTGACTATATTCTGCCTAATGAAATTCAATACAATTAAATGCATTAAAAATGTAAATAATACATTTAAAAAATCCTAAAAACAAAATAAGTTCGTAAATATGTTTATTATTATCATCTTTATTCTCAGTGATAACACCAAACAAAAATAGCACGGCAATACCGTGTTCTTGCGCATGTACTACAGTAATACTAAAGTATGTTTCGGTGCATTTAGTCATATAGCAGATGCTTTATCTATTCTCATACAAGAACCATTAATGTTCGCTGTGAATAGTTTTTTTTAGATTATATTTATGTACATATCATGGTAAATGCCGTTGGTGTTATTACCCGCTTGTAAGTCTAATTTTGACTTTACATAATGTAAACAAATAAATATACTGTTCTACTGCAGGTTTGAAAGAACACCCCACACCCGCCCTGAACACCTCTCCACACAACCATTCACACCTCCAGCAACCCCCCTCTCCCCCACACCTGCAATTCAGATCAGTGAAGACGAGGTGCGCCAGGTCTTCCGGAAGCAGAAAAGGAAAAAAGCACCAGGCCCAGATTGTGTTACACCAGTCTGTCTGAAATCCTGTGCTGACCAGCTGGCCCCATCTTCACACAGATCTTCAACAGATCACTGGAGCTGTGCGAAGTCCCTTCATGCTTCAAACGCTCCACCATCATCCCCATCCCAAAGAAATCCAAAATTACAGGACTTAATGACTACAGGATCCTCTTCAGTTTGCCTACAGAGCAAACAGGTGTCACAGTCTTCAGCGGGTGTGCCCAGGAGGGCCACCAGATGACTGTGTTCTGACAATGATAGTCAAGTTGATGGATGGCTTCAACCAATGGCTGATATTTCAGCAGTTTGGAAAGATAGCAGGTATCAAAATACAGATCAAAACAACAGCCAACCTCAATGACAAATACAGAGTTCAAAGCCTTGTTTACAATCACAGTGTCTGGAGTGTTTGGAATGTTTTTGAAATAGTCTCTGTCAGATGTGTTGTCATAAAATCTTTATGTATTGTTTTCAAGTCCTTTACAATCAAATCAACCAGGCGATTTTTTGTTCTGTCACTGTCATTCTGTTACACTGTGGAAGCTTCTGTCACGAAAACAAATTCCTCGTATGTGTAAACATACCTGGCAATAAAGCTCATTCTGATAAATGAACGTCGATCGTTCCGGTGCTCGCTGCGCATGCGCGACACTCCGTGCGTGCGCGCTCTAGAGGCTGCGCTCGGCGCGTGCGTGATAAAGGCTCAGTGCTCCGAGGCGCGTGTTTGTGTAGTTCGTGTAGTTTTGTGTAGTTTGTGTTGGTCATCAGGACAGAAGCGGCTTAAATGTAGAAGCAGCGCAAGATGGCGGGTGTGTAGAGCTCGACACACACACACACACACACACACACACACACACACACTCACTCTCTCTTCTGACTAAACACACTGTCTCTCTCCCTCACACACACTCACTCACACACACACACACACTGATTGTGTTGTGTTTTCCAGATCTCTCTCTGCTGCAGGACTCGCAGGAGGACACGGATGGATGTGAGTTTATCTCTGTGTGTGTGTGTGTGTGTGTGTGTGTGAGAGAGAAAGGCGTTAGCTTTATGCTGAATGTGATTCATATAGCGCAGGTCACGTGACCCGCTGCTGTGGTAATCTGAGGTAAATGTGTGTGAATACCATAGACTGTGTGGTAAATACACACTGTGTTAGAGATATAATAGAGCTTCACTGAACTCCATGCCCAGAATCATGGTAATACCATGGTACCGTGCTCAGAAACATGGTGTTTTTGTTCGTGACGCGTTAGACAGCTGTGCTCGGGCTTGGTTTAGTCGTCTGAACTAGTCTACAGCTTTACTAGCGCTGTTTACTAGGTCAGATTATATGTGACCCTGGAGCACAAAACCAGTGATAAGGGTCAATTTTGTGAAATTGAGATGTATGCATCATCTGAAAGCTGAATAAATGAGCTTTCCATTGATGTATGGTTTGTTAGGATAGGACAATATTTGGCTGAGATACAACTATTTGAAAATCTGGAATCTGCGGGTGCAAAAAAATCTAAATATTGAGAAAATCATCTTTAAAGTTGTTCAAATGAAGTTCTTAGCAATGCATATTACTAATCAAAAATGAAGTTTTGATATATTTACAGTAGGAAACTTACAAAATATCTTCATGGAACATGATCTTTACTTAATAACCTAATGATTTTTGGCATAAAAGAAAAATCGATCATTTTGACCCATACAATGTTTTTTTGGGCTATTGCTAAAAATATACCCAAGTGACTTAAAGCCTCGTACACACCGGGATGATTATCGCGCACGCTTATTGCCAACGTTTTTCGACGCGTCTTTTGTGTTCATACCCAAGCAATTTTCGCAGGCGATGAGCCGAGTGAACGTGCAAATTCACTCCCTGACTT